TTTATATCTGCCTTTTATACCATAATCCTCATAATGATCTAACTTGCATAGCGGGCATAAAGATTCATCAGTAATTCCATAATAATCATCGTTTCCATCACTACCTTCCCAATATAAATCAGGATATTGTTCTGCCATTTTATTACGGAAATCGGCACGGTTATGTGTAGTATTTACCTTAGTTGAATCTTTCGAACTCGTTTCATTATCATATTTATCATCGTTATCGATATCATCCATATTCTCATCATCATCAGAGGATTCCGAATTAGAATCTAATAAATCATCAGATAGAGATTTAACATCTTCATTTATATTATCTTCTGAATTAGAGATATGGGATGATAGGATAGAGGGAATAATTATAGTACTTACCTCCGTTTCCGGTAAAGTTTTCTTGGTTTCCTTATTTACTATAGTTTCTGATAAATTTCTTTCAGTCACGTGCGCGTTACAATTTGTAACGCCGATCATTTTTTGACATCTAGCATCTACATTAATAGAATTTTTAGGAAAACATTTTATAATATCTTGAATCTGGTTGTCAGTCAAACTCGAAATTGCACTTGCACTACATGTTATTGCTTGAATTTTTTCTATTCCTATTCCTATAAGTAGCGTATAAATTTTTTTCGCTCTGAATGTTCTTTGACGCAAATTTACATCAGTAATATCTGGGAGAAGTGTTTTTATCTCATTGTATACCAATGTTCTTGCTGATTGGTCATCAATTTTATTTATACACTTAATATCTTCAATTCGATCCTCATATGCTTTATAGTAACAATACCAGCACAAAATCTCTTTTTGTCTAACTTTCATTGCTATTATAAATAAATCGGCTATATATTGTGCTGTAATTTTGCTGGATCCTGTTATAATTACTTCTAGCGAGAATTCAGGAATTTGTATATCAAATACTTCACTAACTTTATTATTAATATTTTCTTTAATGAATACAGATAAATCGTGTCTTAAGACTTGCTCTACTCTTTTGTTGTATGGAATTTTTATTTCGGTATTTTCTGCTTGATTAGTAAGCATTGGTTCTGACAGGGTAATTTTATGGTTGATAACAGAATTGACCTCATTTTGTATATCAGAAGAAGAAGATGTGCTTTGCATTGATCCTTGACTCTGAAGTTTCTTTTTCCTGTTTCTTTCCCTTATTTCATTACTAATCTTTTCTCTATGTATCGTTTCTACAAATTCAAGAATCTCAGCTGAATCGTCATTAATAATGTCTTGTGATAAATAGGTTGTGGATGTTTCAGATTCTGCTAGAGATTCAGATATTGTCAAGCTATTTTCTTGTTCGGGTAAGCAATCAGGAGTGATGTTTTTCCCCTCTCCAGAATGACCCCCAATAGGTGACGGAATGGATAATAATCCTTTAGGTTCATCTTTTATTTCGGAAGAAATAGTACTTTGTACCTGGATCTGGGTATTCACTGATAATTCTGAACAAGCCGGAGATTGCAAAATATCTTTTGTATAAGATGCCTCCTGTTCATTAGTAATGACTTGGGCTTGCTTCTGTTCCAATTTCGTGACTCTGTCTTTAAGCTCAATATTCTCGGCAGTGAGATTGGCGGTATCTGTTTTATTTTTCTTTTCTAGTTCTTCGAATCTGGTCTTGAGCATGGCATTTTCTTCTATAGCTTGTTTCAATCTTGTGTTCTCGGCTTTGACTTCAGAATTTTCTTTTCTAAGTTCAGTAATCTCGGATGCAAGCCTAGAGTTTAATTCTCTCAAGGTATTGATTGTTAATTGATCGTTCGACATTGTTTTATTACAAAATGTGGATATATTCAAAAGGTTAATCACACGAAAAAATATTGTTAATAATCGCTTTGCTTTATTGACTGTAATAAGAAACCTATCTACTATTGACTACAATATAAATTTTCGTTTGTCTAACTATTTGTATCTATATTATCTATAATCCGGCTTCATATGTTTTCTGAATAAAATAAAGATGACCATCAGTTGTATATCTATACGAAACGTGCAGTGTCAGAAAATGAATTAAACAATCTCACGTAATCGATTGTCCGTTAAACTAATTTACCTTTTTCGGCCCTGTGAGAAAAAAAGACAAAACTCGCTGAAAGTTTGTGTTGCCTGCCTTCACATGCTAATAAATTTCTCGGAAATCTGTACGAAAGAATAGTCATTAGTTGCAAGCCGAAGTATTCATGCGGGCTTGTACAAAAAGGAAAACGTCATACGTAAAATGATTGTGCGATACGAAAATCTTGATCTGATGAAACGCGTCTTAGATTTGTTAATCGATCTATGTCTTCAAATCTCTCGTACTTCGATGAGCTACCTGAGCGTTGGTCCATTCACGGATATTATGAATTTCGAAAAAGACAAAGTGATTTTAGTGGCATTTTTCATAAAGAGAATGGCTGGCTGAAGATAAATCTGGAGACAATCGCAAATAACAAAGAAGCCTATTTTAATGATGAACAAGTGGCAAGAGCCCTGATGATGCTTCGCGCCTTGAAGGTAAGCATATTCGTCACGACTAGGCAGGGCACTTTCTAGGTGCTCCGTTGATGACCTTCTAGATCGTCATGGCGAAAAAATTGAAGAATTAAGGGCACCTTCTAGATGCTCTTGTTAACGACTAAGCAGGGCACCTTCTAGATGCTCTTGTTAACGACTAAGCAGGGCACCTTCTAGATGCTCTGTTTATGATTTTCTAGATTGTCATGGGAGACTTATCCTATTTCTTTGTATTGTTTCCTCTTCTGTTAGAACCAAATGTCTGATCCAGAAGTTGCCATCTTTTGGAAGGAAATTGATTTCCAAAGAACGTTGAAGAGTCAGATCGAGATCGCACGGGTAAGCAAATATATTATTAAATTAATATGTTTATGAGTCCAAACTAATGATTAACATGACTTTTATAAGGTTGATGGTGTCTTGCGTATGTTTGAAGGAACGAACACCAGCCAACAACACGTTATTAATATCCAACATCAAGACTCTCTAGCTTATATCAATCTTGTGGTAATTATCATGTGTTTTTCTTATTTTACTGCTTAATTATTTTCAAACTTTACAAAATTGATTTCATTTAGGTAAACACACCCTCCTAAATAGTCCGAAAAAGCGGGAAACTGAGGACAACATTCAGGAAAGCGTAAGTTGACCTTCATGAAATTTATTTTTTTCAGGAATTGCATCTGAGTTACTGAACTTTATTTTTGTAGAATTTGAGTGACGAGATTGATTGGTCTTTTAATAATCCTTATGGGAAAAATCAACCAATCCGATTAGACAACAGAGGAAATCGGATAAAAAAGACATTCTCGATGGAACAGATAATGAGGAAGGCGAGGTATGGTATCCCATTTAATAATTGTTTAGTTATCAATATTAATAGCTGTCAAATTTTTTTTTCTAAAATAGCTTACTAAATATGCACATTCGCAAGAGGAAAATAAAGAAAATGTTCCTACGTGTAAAAAAGTAAAAAAAAAATTATAAATTATAGGTGGTAAAGCTAAGAGAACAAAAGCTCATGTATATTTTCTATATTTAGACAAAAAAACGGCCGAACACGAAGAATCAAAGACCAAGAAATGATAACGAAAAGTTTTCCTCCGAGTTTCCATCTCCTCCTGATGTAGGGCTTGAGGATAACGATGAAATAAAGGTTGATTTTACAAGTACTGAAAGAGAGTTGCTACGAGAATCAACCAATGAAGTATGCCACATATTAAGGTCTGATGTTTTTATTCCGTCATGTCTCACAATTTGCTTCTGTTTTCAGTGGGTATTCGGTACTATCAATGTATCACGAAAATTTAGACAATATCAAATAGAGGTACTTAAGAAGGCGAAAACTAATGGATTAAAGTGGAGTGATTTTTATGAAATGTTGTAAGTATTTTTTGACATGTAATAATATTGGATGATGTATTATGCTAATGACTCCTATGCATACTTGATAGGGCATTGTTTTCGATAATTGTTCTCATCTCACCTTGCCCTTACCCTTCTTATATTTTCACTATTCAGAAATGGCAGATGATTACACGTGAAAACCCATATACCATAGCTGATCCAGTACTGCCAATGGAGGTTTTACCCTTTTTACGGAATGCATCGGCTGATTCCTTGGAAGGAAAGACTGCTTTTTTTTGTCCTTATGTGATTCTGAAATTGGCCAAGTGGTTTCTCGAATATTTAACGATATGTAAGCTTTCACCCCATAACACGTGTAAAATCTGTCTCTTAACTTTTTTCACGTATAACAGGTGTAGTAGTGTTCCTGACATTTCCGCAACTAAAACATCAGAGGATGAGCACTGTTTCAAGTTGCTACATCCAATCATTCGTCCGTTGTTTTTTACTAGCTCATATAAAGAATACAATATTCGGTTAAATCGTGCGACAAGTGGTATTGCAAAAAGGCTAGATTTTTCGTGCTTGGTCAACGAAATTCGTATTTTTAATTCGGAAATTAAGCCACCTGGATTCACCTCTCCAGCAACAAAAAGATAAGTTGAAAGTACAGTTGCGAGGGCGTAAGTCCATCAATCAGCTGTTAAGAATGAAAGGTGATCCAGCAGAAACAGTATTGTTAATAAATCAAGGTACATACGCTTGTAATTGATAAAGCATAATTTCACTTTAATTATTAAGTATATTAAACCATACCTTCAGGAGATTTGGTAGAATCATATGTTATGGATCTTAAATACGATGGACTTTACCGGTCATGGCCTTTTTTAACTACCCGACTGGTCAAAGATAAAACCACCATTCCTTTGCTGGAGTCAAACATTCGGCACTTTATGGCACTAGAGGTACATCCACAACATATTTCATTTTAAGTTTGCAATGAAACAGTTAACAACAACTTTCATTTATATTTTGCATTGGTAGGAACGCATCAACAAAATTGCCGAGGATTACAATCGTCGAACTTGTCAAAGTGGTACAACTACTCCTCCCTTGCAAATACAGTATATGCGAGACTTGCCAGGTAGTCCGCAAATGCAAGAGATACTTAATTCAAAGTGTGGTTAAGTTAAATGTGCAAGTTTGTTGTTTCAAAAAATGATGGAATAATTGGTTTATTTTTAACATTTTAATATGCAATCTGTGTAATCAAATATTAAAGTAATGTGCACATGATGGTGACATAGCAAATGTTTGATCCAAATTTCTGTATGTATACTATTTTTACCTTTGCCATAACACCAAAATTCCCATAGTGCAAATAAAATGTATTTTATCAGAATAAACATCCATTATGAGTTTTCAGTCTGCTTATTTCTCGAAGATGCTCTGTAATAACTTATATATGTCTTTGTAATAAGGATCCAATTTTTTCACAATTCTTTTTTGAATTGATGTATGCGTGGCAAATTGTCACACCGATCACTTTTGCCAATAAATTTTATTTGAATTTGATCATTCCCCGAGGGAACAGTTTTTGCCAAGAAAAAAATAAAAATAAATTTGAAAAAATTTTAATAATTCAGAAAAAATACATGTATATCTACTTTATTATTACAATAAAATATAAGGCACGTAGATACCAGGTGCATATATTAGAATAAAATACAGTTACGAAAAAATCTATCATTTATTTTTTTGAATACGACATTTTTTAATTTCATGTTCATCACACATTACAATCCTATCCCTTAATAAATCCACAACTATATCAATTACTGTTTTAACGCCTTTTCTGATCGATTCAAGATCCTCCTTAAATACCGTTTTGGATAGGTTAATTTGATATTCACTTTTACTGGTATAATAAAGTCCTTCTGTTGCAAGTTTAATAAAATACCATTCCGTAGCTAAAGAAAAAAATAAGTAGAAAATATACCAAATTTTTATATTAGAGATACTAGTTTTGTAATCAAATATTAACTTTACTATTTATACCTGTAGTGGCTATTCCGTAAAGATAATCATCATTATTTTCAAATGTCTGCTCTACAGTTCGCTTCCTTTTATTCATGTGGCTTGTACTTTCGAGTTATTTTATATTTTGGAGGTAACCGATTTTAACATTATGTGGTTTTTTCTCCACTATACATATAAGATCCTCATATCTTTTTAATGAATAATCAACGTGCCCAGAGGAATCTTGCCAGATACATCATCTTGGTATACACCAACCTGCCAAAAGTATCTGGGCAACTGTTTTTTTATCAAATTTATCAATAAACTTCAAGGACAAATTGCGACACAAGGAATAATTTAAATTGC